CCATATTCAGTAATACAATTTAGAGTGCTACTTGGACTAGAAAATTGTTCAGTTTTCAGAGAGTGGATTTCTTCTAGAGTTCTCCATTATAAACAATTTCTTGTGGATTTTTTTCTTTTTTTTCCACATTATTTATTATTTGTTTTTTGTATATACTTTCAATCATATTGTTTGACTAACAATGGGACCATTTCGATATGTGCACATTTCTCCCCAGACCCGTTGATCAAAATATCTTTAACAGATAACACCACACCTCCCCATCCCATCGATGCTCTACCTCTGTATCCCTTCTCCAAATGTCCTTCGTGGATTTTGATAGGATGTTCTGTGCAAAGGTCTTCTTATTTGGCTTTATCTTGGAGTAGACGTTAAAATGTGAATCCTTCCCTTTATTTTACCTACCTCAACTCACCCCATCCCACTCCTTCCCCAATTCCCTACTCCACCACTCCCCACACCAACCCTGGATATTTTGATACATTGACACTCAAGATTCTTTTTCTTTCTTTTTTTTTTTTTCCTTTCCTTTCTTTCCTTTTGTTAGCGTCTACAGCACAGCCTGCCATTTCTTTAGGTGGATATAGATACAGACAACTATCAACTGGGATGGGCCCTCCTTACGTTCTACTGTTACCTTCAGAAAGCATTGTTAACTCATTATTAAATTTGATCTGTATTAAGATTTGCCTTCTTCCTGTTTCATGATCATTTATGAATAAACTTGTACCATTAAGAAATCCATTTTTTAATAGCGCTTTTTGAAATGAAGTGCTTCCCTCCTGGTATATAACTTCAGTCATGGTTTCATTGAAGCTATCCTACTTAACAGAAGCAAGCAGTATCCGTTCTCATTTTACACTTAAATCATGACTGCCTTCAGAAATATTTAAGCAGTTTTTGACAGAAGTTGCTTTAACGTTTTCTTTGTCTGTGATGACAACCAGATATGGGAGAATATGTATTTTTCAAATGGCCTTGGCATCAGGCAGATAGATATGCACTTAGGATCTCCTTAATTTGTGGCCCATGAGTTAACCCCCTTCCCTTACGTAGCTCATCTCATGTACAAGTGATGATTAAATCCCTTCCTCATGGTTCAGTTGTGAGAACTAAAAGAAATAGTGTATAAACAGCCTTTCTGTAGTGTGTAGTACATTTTTTGTGAAATGAGATAATAAACAGGGTTGTTTCAACGATGAAAATAATACATATAAAGGGCTCATTGAAGGGAATACATCATTTGATTATATCTTCCTTCATCAAAAGTGGGAGGAGACAGGCTTTCTGTTACATTGCTGGCTAGACATGCTCTATAGGCAGCAACTGAACTTGTCAGTTTCTACCATAAAGTTCACATGTTAGCATGAAAAAGCACGTACCAACATGTGTATTGCAACACTGCCTGTGATAAATTGGGAAAAACTGGAAACTACCTAAATGTCCATCTGTAGGAAAATAAATACATAAGGTTTAGTGTATAAGTTCTGTGAATCAATTAAAAAGAGTAAAGTAGATCTATATGTACTAATATGGAAAAAGCTTCAAGAAATAATGTTGAGTGAAGGAGAAAGCAAGGCACAGAATAAATCATTCGGTATGATACCACATATGTAAATAGACACAGAGTCACATAAGGTAGTATTACATACTTTTAATTGCTACATATATAGAATGTAACAATACAGAAAAAGTCTAAGTTTACAAACCAACATGTAACAATCATTATCTCTTGGGGAGTCCAGAAAATTGAGGGTCATGGTCAAAAGAGACATTTTCTTATTTACAGTGTTTACATTTTTTTCTTTAAATAAAGAATCTGGGGGCCAGTAAGTGGCATGGTGGTTAAAGCACTGGACTCTCATACGGCTTAAGTGGCTTAAGTCCTGGATACGGTGGCTTGCTTTCTGACTTTCTCTCTCTGTGTCTGTCTCTGGTTAAGTGCACCCACCTACAGCAAATTAAAATAAATAAATAAATTAAATTAAATGAATAATTTTTTGAAAAATGAAGAATCTGTATCTCTGTTAAAATCCAGTTTTGAAAAACTGCTGTGCATATGGTGCCAGGAATATAGTATGTCTCCAATAAGTGCTCATTCCCTTCTTTTGGTATAAAAATCTCTCTATTACCTGCCATGTCAATTTGGATTTATTTATTCATTTATTGAACAAATATTTATTAAGTAGTTTGTCCAGTCATTTCCCATCCTCCTCTTTAGAGAAAGACTAGAGAGGAGATTGGCTGGGATACTAACAACTCAGGAAAAACACAGTTAAACAAGAAAAAAAAGTGAAGTTTCTCAAGTACTGGTAGATAAAATAGAGGTTGCTATAGGAGCACATTGCAGTAACACTTATCCTGATCTGAAAGAGTCAAGAATCATGGAGGACTTTACAAAGGAACCTTCCATTGGGGAACCAGCAGTTGGCGTAATGGCTATGTCGTTGGACTCCCACGTAGGCGACCACGATTCGCGTCCCGGACCCGGTGGCTTAAAACTCATGCTGGGTGTGTGTGTGTGCGTGCCCAAGATCCTGAGAGGAGAATAGAGGAGAAGGGATTGCGGTGTGACCATCCCCCCTGGGGCGTGATTTCTCGCTTTCTGTTTCTATGTCTCTCTCTGTCTGGCGAGCGCACGCGCCCTATAGTGAAAAAACCTCTCAAAAAAAAAAAAAAAGGAACCTTCCATTGAAGTCATTGCAGCCCCTCTCCTACATAAAACTGCCAATAATCTAAATGAGCAGAGAATAGGTCAAATGAGGACAAGTGGAACTGCAAGGAGATTAATGCAGAATAGCTATAGTTAAGGACTTCAAGATGGTTGTCATAATTCACCATGGTTTATACACATGACAATTAAAGAAGTTGGACTTCAGAAATGTTATCCTTGGCTCCAAAACCATCTTTTAAAATAGGATCAAAGACCATTTAAAATCTACATTCTATTCCACTGTGAACTCACTGACTTGACTGTCCCATATCAAGCCATGTCATAGAAGTGGGGCTCCTTCTGAGAATGCATGAAAATGCAAGTAGGGCTATCAGTTGATGGGACAGGCTGAGATCAAATTCCAGGAGATGGTAGACAGGATATAAATGCTAGTACACAAAGTAAAAGTCAAGTGAGCATGGGATGAGGACAGAGAGTCAAATAGCCATAAGGCCAAGAGTGAGAGCTGGTTTAGTAGACAGGTATAAACTCAAACAAGGCAGGGCAAGCACCTCTTCCCAGATCCTGTTTTTTAAACCAAGAGGTTTCACCCATTCACCATAGGGTTTCATGACAATTTACTCTCCTTAATTTTGCTCTTAGATTGCTGGGACTTCACAGCTAAGTTTTCTTGGCTATGTGTAACCATTGCTGAACTCAATTCCACTGGAGCTCTCAGGTTCCTAACCCAGAGCTAGCTTTCTTGGTAAGTACCAAATCTGGGATAGGTAGAAATACAAAGCCAGGGGAAGACAAATTTTGTTCCAAGTGGTAAATGCATTAGTAGGAGCAGTGTTCTTCTGTACAGTCTTTACCACATGTCCATAGTCCTGGGTGTGGTATCTAAGACCCATCATCTGATACCATACAGATAAGGAATGACATAGAAGAACATATTTGTTTTCCATTACACATAACCAAAATTGAAACTCTATCAATCCATAACAAGAAAAGTAAAGTCAAGAAAGCAAATCTCTGTCGAACTTAATTGCCCAGTAAACATGTAGATTGGGAATCTTATTTGAAATGTACTTTTTGTTTTTTATTTTTTTTAAGCCACTGGGTTGAGACTCGAACCATGGTCAATTACATGGGAGTCCAGCAATGTAACCTTATGCCATCTGGTGGTCCCTCATGAAATTCTTTCTTTGCATTATTATTCAGATTCTTGAACCACTTATTATCATGCCTATTTACATTTAGCAAAACTATAAGTTTTTTTTAAAAAAACTTATACTATAAGACACAGTAAAGACATCCGTTTCTTCCTATCCTTGAGTGTTTTCAATGCATCTTTGATTTCCTTGTTTCGCAGACTATAGATTACAGGGTTCAGCATGGGGACCACAGCTCCATAGAACACGGATACCACTTTATCTTGGTCCCGTGAGTGTCCAGCACTGGAATGGAGATATGAGAAGAGACCAGAGCCATAGAAGAGAATTACTGTGGTCAGATGAGAGACACAGGTGTTGAAAGCTTTCATTCGACCTTGGGTTGAATGAATCTTCATGACAGCAGCAATGATGCTGCCATAGGACACAAGAACAACAACAGCCGATGTCCCACCAACTGCACATACAACAAGAAAGTTCACCACTTGGCTGAGAAAGGTACTAGAGCAAGACAGGGCCAGCAGGGGTGGCAGGTCACAGAAAAAGTGGTTAATGACTCGTGACCCACAGAAATGGACCCGGAATAGGAAGCTGGTTTGGACCAATCCAGTAAGGAACCCTCCAGTATATGCTGTAATGGCCATCCCCATGCAGATGGTGGGTGACATGAGGGCTCTATAGAGAAGAGGCCAAGAGATGGCAGCATATCGGTCATATGCCATGGCTGCCAGCAGACAGCACTCAGTGCCTCCCATCCCAATGAAGAAGAAAAACTGAGCAGCACAACCTGCAAAGGAGATGGTCTTCTGCTCCTGAAAGAAGTCACAGAGCATCTTAGGAGCTATGGAGGAGGTGTACGAGATATCAACAAAGGACAAGTTACCAAGGAAGAAATACATGGGAGTATGGAGGTGTGGCTCTACCTTGATCAGGACAATGAGTCCCAGGTTCCAAGCCAGAGTCATGACATAGATCCCCAGAAACAACATGAAAAGAACAACTTGTAGCTTTAGATGCTCTGAAAATCCCAGAAGGATGAAGTTGGTCATCATGCTGATGTTCCTTCCCATAGCCATGTATCAGCTACCTTCAGAGCCCCACAGGGAGATTCCTGGGATAATGAAAATCCAGGTGAAGGAACCATTTTTCTTTGTCATGCACCAAAGACTTTCAGAATCAGGAACCATTTTGCTCTGTTATACATTATAGACTCTCAGAATCAGAAGAGACATCATAATGCTAACTTCTTACCTCTGAGGCAGAATTCCCCTCTATGGCATGCCTTGGGTCTTTCATGGAGATTATTGTTCCTCTGATCTAATGCATTTTTTTAAAAATGGAAAAGTGATAGGACCCAGAATAGACTCTGTCATTTTTGCACTACCTAGGTTATCACCTAAACATTGTCAACATTACCATACTTCCAAAAGAAGTTATTCATGGTACTTCGCCTAAATAGCCCCTTTTAAAAATGGCTTTAAGGACTGTGGTCCAATTATTAAACCGCTCAAATTTTGACTAATTAGTCTTTTCTTATTTAAAACAGGAATATCTTAAAACTCAAACAGCCTGGAGAGGTAATGTGTTTCTTATCATAGTTTGCTCTGAGCAGGTTTAATGGGTCAGGGTGTTTTTCTCCTTTAAGCGGTGGAGTAAAGCACATAGAGCTGTGCCCAACTCTTTAAAGACAAATGACTGGGTTTAAACATTTTCAGTACTGGGAAATTCTAAGGTTTATTGTTTTCTCCTGTAAGCAGTGGAGTAAAGCACATAGAGCTGCCCAACTCTTTAAAGACAAATGACTGGGTTTAAACATTTTCAGTACTGGGAAATTCTAAGGTTTATTGTGCATAGATATTACCAACTGATGAGACACTGGCACCAGGTGTTTGGTAGGGCTTGAGGCTGATGATGTAGAAATTAATGAAATATTATTTTTATGTGAGTGTGTGAGATAATTTTTAGACAGGGTTTCACTGTGTCATGATCCTTCTGCCCCAACCTTCTGAACTGCAAGGAAAACAGGTATGCACCTTCATGCCTGGCTTTTCAGGAAGGGCTGTGAACCGAATCCAGGCTTCCTATGTGGATCAAGTCTGATAAGCAACTGAGTCTAATACACACGACCACAGCTGGGCTCAAAACATTGCTCTTACATTGAAAATACTCAACCTAATGCATGGGATAGACAGTGTTAAAAGAAAAACTTTATACAATTTAGTTTAGCAGAGTTTAACTGAGCAAAACTGATTCAAATTGGGCAGCCCTTAGAAGGTTTCCAAAGAACCGGGGATAACCCTACAGTGGGGTGACATTTATGCACAAGAAAGGTGAAGTGATATAACAATGACAATGACAACAACAACAACAGCAAACCTACCACAAATGAAGTAGAGAAATAACTGGATGGGTTACCTCTTGATGTTTGCCATGGTTAACAGTTTAAAGGGTGGGCTGTCTGTGACTGACTGAAGTGTAGCTGCTGTGATTGGCTGTACTATAGCAACTTACTAAGGAAGCAGACTTCCCTGTGAAGTTGTGGTTTGCTTATGGAAACTGAAACAGGAGTATGGAGGCTTTCTCAAGTCAATATACTTGAACAACAGAAACGCAGATAAATCACAACATGGGTGACAGATGTGCTAAGAGAAGTATTTATACAGTGCTGTGGAGCCTCGGACATGGGAGACTGCAGCTTCCGAGAGATGTGTTTGAGAAAGATTCCAAAGATGTGCAAGGGGTTACCAGGATGGAAGTATAGTGTGTGAGGGGGTGGGGAACTGATCAGTTCAGAGAGCTTCATACTGAACAGGGAGAAAGCACTTGCAAAAGTGCGGGAGCGTGTACTGTTCAAGTGACCTCATAAACGTCTATAAGGCAGGAGCACAAGGTAATCAGGATATGGAAGTTGAGCTTTGAGCAGCAGGGGGAGGTAGACAAATTGTGAAAGATCTCTGATAGCAAAGATGGCAAAGACATTGGGGCCAACAGGTGATGTGGTGGTTGAGGCACAGTACTCCCACATGGCTGGCTATGGTTTGAGTCCTGGACCCTGTAACTTGAAAACCATTGTGTTTGTGCTCAAAATCCCAAGAAGAAAATGGAGGATAAGGGATTGAGGAGTGGCTAACCCCCTGGGTGGGTAATGTCTCATTTTCTTCTCTTTGTCTTTCTCTCTCTCTCTGGAGGGGTGCACACACCTTATGCCAAAAATCTAAAAAAAAAAAAAAGAGGTAGCAAAGACACACACACGCACACATGTATAACACAAATACACATGCTATATAGATAATTGTATAAACTGCATATAATTGCATATATATGTGTATATTCATATTTAATATCAACCTTTTTGCCACTTCTGAACTTTTCCCCCTTTTACTTGACTCTGTGTTTTGATAGTCTTTTACCACCCTAACATTACATATGAGGGGATATCTAAAAGTTCCTGGGGAAATGGAATTAAAGTTTGAGTTTATTTTGGTGCAAAAAAAAGTTGAGATCCTTGCATAGTTTTTGCATAAAATGCATTTTCATGAACTTTTTGAAGACCTCTTGTGTGATTAATCTGTTTGTTGATTGTTTCCCTCCACTAAAACATATGCTTAACCAAGAGTGGTATGTTTAGGGATTTTTGTCTCTTTTGTTCATTGAAGAATTCCAAGCACTTAGACCAGAGTGGGGTACATAGTAGGTACTCAATAAATATTTGTTTAATCAATATCATGTTTAGCAGTTTGACCTTTTTTCTATGGGTGTTTCTTAATCTTGTTTCATGTCAAGCAGGGAACTAATTGTCCAGTGCGTGTTTAAGAAGAGAACTGAGAACAGCAAAGTGAAAAAACAGTGTTGGAGATGGCTGGGACTGAAAGGAGACTGGAAAGAAGGATCAGAAAATTGTTTCAAAAGCCAGGAAGATCATTTCCTCTAGGTTCAGCCATATTGTAGCTAACGGCAGAAGTTTGCTCTTTTCAAAGGCTGAATAAGGCTAAATAATGTTTAATTTTATATGTGCATATGATCAGCTTCTTTATCCGTTCATGCATCTATTGAACTTAAGTTATTTCCATAACTTGGCTATTATGAATGGTGCTATAGTGGACGTGTTGTACGGATGTCATTGAGATGTGGTGATTTCATTTCCTTTGGCTATATACCCAGAAGAGGGATTGCTGGGCCATCAGCCACAATAGGATGGACCTGGAGAACATTATGTTGAGTGGAGTAAGCCAGATGCAGAAAGAAAAACACTGCATAATCTCACTTAGGTGTTAAATCTTAAAAAAAAAAAAAAAAAAAAAAAAAAAAAAAAGAAATAAGGAAAAAGAAAGAAAGGAAAGGAAAGAAAGGAAGAAAGAAGAGTTGAATGTATGGAGGTAGAGACTAACAGAACTTACCAGGGTTGGGGTTAGGGACAGGAAGTGGGGAGCAGCAGATCAAAGGATACAAAGTAGCAAATACATAGAAGGAACAAATCAAAGATCTAAGGTAAGGCATGAGAACTGTAGCTAATTATAGTGTCTTATATTCAGAAGTTTCACTAAATGAGTAGATTATAGCTATTCTTGCCGCAGAGGGAAAACAGTTATGAAATTGTGGTTATGTTCATTTGTTCCATTATAGTAACCATTTTATTGCAAATATGTTTCTTATAAAACCATACTGTATATCTTAAATATACACAATAAAATTTACTTTTTAAAAAGCCAGAAAGCAAATTAATGATGATTTGAACTGAGAAGGTAGATTTAGAAACCAATACTCTGAAAGTAACAGTGTTGGGAAGGAAAACCATATATGGCTGCACAATTAGTAACCACCACCATTCCCTTATTTCCATGCACTTATAATTATCATCAAAGGTATATTTTAGCAAAATTAATCATGAGTCTTTTCTATTTCCACAGGAGTTCATCATTTCCACTCTATTGCATTTTCAGAGGGTGATAAAAGCTATTACGATTATTGCACAGATAACCTGTTTATTTTGACCTGAATCACCTGGAGATAAAGATATATTATAGGAAAAGATTATGTGACATATATTTCCATACAATAATTTATAAATATTTTCATGGTCTGAGAACAACCACAACTTACATGTACAGTGTTATTGGGTACTCATGCACACATGCCTGGCATGTTTCTTAAGCTGCCAGTCTAGGACTCGAACTGTACAGTTGGTCAGGTGGGATCCAGTCACCTTAACCACCACACCAGGGGCTGGCCCCATAGTGCTTTTGAAACACTGAAGATGCAGCATGTGGGTATTTATTATCTTATTTGTGGTCATCCAAAGCAGAGTTGTGATGTCAGACAGAGCTAGTCTCTGATTCTTGCATCTCTACTGACTAGCTGTGTGAGTAAGCTAACACATCTCCTTTTATTTCCTTCAACTATAAAGTGGAGGCAATAACAAGACTACCTTATAGACTGTGAGTATTAAATAAAACAATTTGTGTCAAGTTTTGAAGAGAAATCAGAACAATTTTTAGTTACTTAAAAAAAGATGGGGATCATCAGGATTTGAACCCAGATCTTTATATTCCTAATCCAGGGACTGTCCCCCATTGCACCTGTTGTCTTAACTGGGTATATGTACTTACACATGATAATAATGGCTGCATTCACTGTACATCCTTTACTTGCATTATTGCCAATTTTTACAGAAACATGTTGGCCTATTTCATAACATTTAGCACACTTTTTTGGTTTCATTTGTTGGTTTGTTTGATTGCTTTCTTTGTCTTTGGCTCCTTAACTGTAAGTTCTTGGAGGGCATTATAACCTCAGTTCCTTGCATAGTGCTTGGACATATTAGACATGAAATAATATTTGCCAAATTAGTTCAACTTACAATTTCACAAGACAGATATTATCCAAAAGAACCTCAGTGAGATTATAAAAGCACAAGGGGTTACTGAGTGACTGAGCCAAGACTTAAACTCTTAATTCTTCGACTTCAGAGCCTGTTCCCTTTCCCGAGTGGTATAAAAGGATCTGGCCATGGATCTGGACAATCGGTAGAACCATCCATATATGATACATATAATTAGAATAGATATGATCCTCCTCC